CTGAGCTGCCCACATACTTGTCTGGGAGAGCATGTGTACTCTGTATACAAAAGCTGTATGTGGGCACAAAAAAAAACAGTGTTGCGTCAGGTACAATGTGCAATTTAACAATCCCAGGCAGCGTGTGGCCAGCTCACTTTAAGGCGTCATGCATCAAGCGGCCAGCTCTTCATGCATTTCCCAGCAAGAAGATAAGGCCTGCAGGGCCTCATCTTATGTGGGGTAGTGGGCTGTGGGAGTGAGCACGTCAAAGGGCAAGTTTTCGAGACCTGATCCGCAGGTGATTCTGCATCAAGCACATGCATCAAGCGGCCAGCTCTTAATGCATTTCCCAGCAAGAAGATAAGGCCTGCAGGGCCTCATCTTGTGTTGGGTAGTGGGCTGTGGAGCGAGTGTATTACTTATTAGGTGAGTGACCAAGCAGGGGCCCCCAGATAGCCCGAGATGAGATGCTTTGCGCCCGCAGGTAAAGAATTTTAGTCCGACTAGAGCGCCAAGTCCCCAAGCCGAAGCGCCTTTTTTCTTTTGATAAGATCATGACGCTAAGACACTGTGTCCGAGCGGCTAAGGAGATGGACTCGAAATCCATTGGGTCCTGCCCGCGCAAATTCGAATCCCCTCGGTGTCGTTTATGTTATTACCTAGACCTAGTCGATCCTTGTTGTTTCCCAACGTTGCGACAGCAAGGTGAAGCCAGCTCAACTGTCGAAAGACACGGCTTCCAGGATGGGGCTAGATTCTGACTACGTATGCGCAATGCCTTCAAGCATCCTTTGTACCTACATCGCAAGCCGGCTATAGCTCAGTTGGTAGAGCATCTGACTGTAGAGATCGCAGGAATCAGATGGTCCCTGGTTCGATTCCGGGTGGCCGGATTTTTTCGTAGGTGTTGATCGGATGGGTGCTCGTTGTGGCAAATGGCGCAAGTGAGCGCGACGGGTTTTTGTGTGGCTCGCCAGCCGGCGTTTCTATGCTCTCTATCCATTGCTTTGGCAGGGCGCGGAAGCAAAGTGAAGAAGATATCGGGCTAGTTGTATGCGAGGTGTGGCTTGCTGTTGGACGTGCCAGCATGGTGACGCCTGGATACAAACTGAAACGGGCATTGGATTCTTTGTAAGAGCGGAGTGGCGCAGTGGTTAGCATGTTGGGCCCATATCCGAAAGGCCCCTGGATCGAAGCCAGGCTCCGCTATGCCGTTTTCTCATGTGCCATGACATGTGAGGCAAAGTCACAAGTACATTGGCTCCTGTAACAACAAATGCGCCTGCCGGGAGTCGAGCCCGGGGCACAAGCATGGGAGGCTTGCATGTTGCCGCTACACTACAACCCCTCTTGTATGAAGTGCCCACCACCGTAAGCTGTCATTGATGACGAGAGCGAGTGTGGGCAAGGGGTCAGAGTGAGCAGTGAGTTTTTTGCGAAGCTGGTGTCACTGGTGGCGTCGGCCCTTGAGGGCCCACGTCTGCGCGAGCAGAAACGTCCACAAAATAGTCCAGACAGTATGATCCTGGTAGGACTCGAGCTTACAATCCCCGGCTCCGTGGGCCGATGCCTCATCCATTGGGCCACAGGACCTCCTGGCAGGAGCATCAGTCCTCGAACAGAGAAGCCTGCGCGGTTGCCAATGCAACGCGGCAAGTTAGATGAAAGAGGCTTGACCCAAAGGCGCTTGTGGCATTTGGCTCTTTTCTAAGTTGCCTTTGACGCGAAGAAGGGAACATCCACCGAACGCAAAAACTGCAGCATTACCCAGCACAACAAGGCGCACGGCCAACTGGCTGGAGGAGCTGCGCTGCTGGCAGCAGGGGTATGCAAGTTGATGGGATGAACTGAGCTGCCCACATACTTGTCTGGGAGAGCACGTGTATTCTGAAAACAAAAACTGTGTGTGGGCCCTGGTCACCAAAAAACAGTGTTGCGCCAGGTACTATGTCCAGGTCAACAATCCCAGGCAGCGTGCGTTTCCAGTAAATTGCCGCGCCCAAAACTACCCGCAAAACTCCCGCAAAAACCCGCTAAACGCCCGCAAAAAGACGCAAACGCCCGCAAATCCTGAAAAGTGATAAATCAGGTAATTTCCGGCGTTTTACCTTCCAGTGGTTATTGCAACTTTGGAGCGCCCAATGGGGCGTCTTCAGGGATCTGACGTCGCAACGGAATCAACGCTTGATTTCAGGCTGTTGGCCAGCTTAGAAGCAAGAAATGGATTGCGGACCCCTTCCTCCAATTACCTCAGTTCTGCTGGCCTGGCAATGATTGGGGTTATTGCGCACTCCTTCCACACACAAGGAATGATGGCTTTGCTGCAAGTGTGACCAGTTTGGTTGCCGGAAAAGTTGTGGGTGGGAGGGGCCTTTTCAGAGCTCTGATGGCTTTGATGCAAAGCTTGACAGGCCTAATTGCAACCCATTCCTGGAGTCTGGCGCAGCTTCGCAAAAGCACTACCTGTCTGGTCAATGCTGAATTTTGACATTTTCCAACATCTTTGGACCCAAAGGGGAATACAGCAGTTGGCCCCTGCTTCGAGGTGGAACTCCGGCTTGAGAGCTCCGAAAACATATACGTATATATACATTTATCTAGACACTCATGACCTGTTCACTTGCACATGTGAGCACACATGACGAGCCCAATACCGCAGCGGCTTTTACAAGGCAAGAGGTGAGAAAAGGATCGCCTCTGTGTTTGACATGGTAGCGGAGCCCGAGGATTGGTCTAAAGGACCATGAGGGCTCAGGGCGCGCAGCCATGGTGGACTTTGATGGTGGCCATGATGGCCATGGAGACCATGGAAGGTCATTGGTTGGCCTTTGAGCCAGTGACCTGGACTGAGCCCATCGAGATGATCACAACAGGGCATCAAGGCATGAATTCGACAATGAAGAGAACAAGTTTGCTGACTACATCCTGGAGATCACAGAGAACAAGAGTGGCAGAGGAGCTCACTACATGCTGGACATCGACATCGCGATCTTCCTGGTGGATGATGCAGAGCACTTCGACATGTTCGAGCTGGAGAAGCAGAAGCTGGCAGGAGAGAAAGAAAGATGAGCTTGGAGCTCACGACACCTGCGACCTTGGGTTCGAGTCCCAGGGCAATGAAAGCATGTCCTCAGGTGAAGTTGGACTTCACGAAGAAGAAGAAGAAGAAAATGTGGCATACTTTGGGTTCGAGTCCCAAAGGAAAGAAAGCTTTGGGTTCGAGTCCCAAAGAAGAGAGAAAAAGAATGACGAGGGCAAGATGGCCACAAGTGAGGCAACCATGAACTCACTTGAGAAGAGAGGAAACTATGTCCTGGAGAATGTGAACGAGCAGGACACCATGATGGCCACGAATGAGATCTCCTTGGAGGAGACTATGTGCTTGGAGCACTATGAGAAAGAGAATGAGCAGGTGATCCAAATGCCACAGAAAGCCAGAACTACATCGAAAGCTTTGACGCGAAAGAGTGGAACTACAACGTCTTCAAGGAGAACCAGGTGAAAGAGCTCGACAAGACTATGCAGCTGGCAAACGACCTCGATGTCTTCAAGACTATGAGCTTGATCTCAATCGCCATCCTGAGCAGGTGGCCTGGCATGGTGATGATCTTCACGGTCCTGATCACCATGGCCTATGGACTTCAAGAAGACCCTCAAGAAGGCTGGAAAACAAAAGCTGAGCGCAGAGACTGGCTAGAGAAAAGAGTGAGAGGAAAAGAAAAGAGAAAGGAGAAAAGACTTTGCCGTTTGAGCCAAGTGGTTAGAAAACGCCAGACACAAGTCATGATGCTGTTCATGATGGCTGGAACAGCGCAGAGCATGGAAAAGCAACAGATGCTACAGCGCATCACACGCTTAGCAGAAGCAGCCAACACAGCAGCGCAAGCAGCTACAGAAGCCACACAGGCAACGACGAGAACAACAGGTTCTTCGACACACGGATGGGAATCACTTCAATGGTGAAGATCCATTGTTGTTTGCAACGTGGAAGCTACAGTTTGAATCATGGCTGAGCTTTGGAGATTCAAAGTTCAATGAACTACTAGCCAATGTAGAAGGCAGTGCAAGAGAACCAGATTGCTCAAGCTACACGCCAGAACAGACAGCGATAGCCAACAAATTCTTTGCAGTGCTGAGTTCATACATGAGAGGAAGATGTCTTCAGACGGTTCGAGCAAACCAGCAAGCCAAAGATGGTTTCAAGCTTTGGTTTCAGATGTGCAGAGAGTTTCTTCCTGCAACACGCCAACGATCCCTAGCACTCGCACAGACATTGGGACAGTATCCAAACTTCAACCAGAAGTTGTCGATGATGGAGAACATCTTGCAGTTCGAGCAGTTGGTCATGCAGTATGAGCAGACAAGCAAAGAGACATACCCAAGTGATCTTAAGACAGCGACGCTGATCAGATGTGCACCGCAAAAGCTCAAGGAGTACCTCCAACTTTCCTTGACTGACAAGTCAACATATGCTGATGTGAGAGAGGCATTGTTAGCCTATGAGAGAACATCCAAAAACTTTTCCCAGGAACAGAGCCTCAAGCAGCTGGAACTACGTGATCCAGTACGAGCCTCAGGAGATGAAGCCACAGCTATGGAAGTTGACAGAGTGACAGACTTGAAAGGTAAAGGCAAAGGCAAATACAAAGGAAAAGGAAAAGACAAAGGCAAAGGAAGCTGGTGGCAAGGAGCTTGGACCTTTGACAGAGGTCGAGGCTATGGAAAAGGAAGAGGCAAAGGAAAAGGCCGCGGTAAAGGAAAGTCCAAAGGAAAGAACAAAGGAAAGAGTAAAGGCGGCAAGAAAGGAAGCAAAGGGAAGAGCAAAAGCTACAACAGCTACAACCAGAACTACAATGGAGGTGGCAATACGTGTTTGATTTGCAATCAACAAGGACATTGGGCACGAGATTGTCCACAAAGAGTGAACCAAGTTCAGAATCAGGCATTTCAGCAACAGCAGCCAATACCGCCGCCTTCAGCCACAGGTTCAGTGGCAAGTGGATCAACACAAAGCACAGTAGCACATCCCCATTCAGCTTATCGCTCAACGCAATCAGCAACTACGGTTCGCAGAGTCTATGACATTGCATTCTCAGAGCCAAGCAATGGACAGGTGAATATGGTGAACACGGAGTTCTACTTCCTGAGCACGGAGACCATGAATGACCTCATGACTTCATCGACAGCAAGTCCAAAAGAGGAGAATGACGCATTCTACAAATGGTTCAACCACGAGATTGACATCAACGATGAGGGACAACTATGTGAAGGAGAGATGACCAAAGATGGCATCAAAGAGCAGCATGTCAGAGTGATCCTTGAGAACATTCCAGAAGAAGGCGAAGTAGAGACCATCATCATTGACAGCGGATCAGATGTGAGTTTACTGCCCAGGAGATTCTACAATGTGGACAAGAACATCAAAGGTGAACGCAAGCTTCAAGACTGCCAAGGACGAAAGCTCAACGTGGATGGAAGCAGAGAGACTGAGATTGAGGTGTTTGATAGCCAAGGAACACCTGTTACCTTGAGACACCGGTTTTTGGTTGGAGAAGTGACAAGTTGCCTACTGAGCCTTGGTCAACTACTGAAGAGTGGATGGACACTTCATCATGATCAACATGATCACGATCAACTTCGACTATGCTCACCGGATGCTTTGACGGAGATTCCGGTTGGCTACCGAGGCATGTCGTTAGCAATTCAAGGCACAGTTCGACGAGTAGAAGATGAAGAAGGTGAAGAAGAGAAAGATGAACCTAAAGCACCACTACATGTTCGAATGCTGGTCAAAAGCAAAGATGGTTTTGGATTTGAGACAGAGCCTAACAACCTATGGAGGCATTGTGACCACGAGACAGTGTTCATCAAGACGGTGACCAACAAGTACACCGACATCAAGACCATTTGGGGAGAAAGATTTCCATACAGGAGCACATTCATCAGAGAGCTCAAAAGTGGAGAACCTGAGAGCATTGGTCAATGGCAAATGGTGGAGTTCTGCGAGAACATTATGGACAAACCCAACATGACAGAGGACATCGCTGAATGTGGAGGAATTGAATGGTTGGTGATGACCATTGCAAGCAATGATCTTTTTGACTTCGACAAGCTCTTCGAGGTGATGGACGAGGACATTGTAAGTCCAATGATTGGTGCAGCTGAAGCAGAAGCAAGATCACAAGGAGCTCATGGACTTCGACCAGAACAACTAGACGAAGCAGCAGCGTCACAAGAGCATGGTGAAAATGAACCAATGGAAGTTGCAAAAGAAGTTGTGGTGAACGAGATGACATTGAGTGCAAATTCAGCTATGAAAGACCTCAGAGCAGCAGCTAAGTGGCTTGGAGTTTCAGGCAGTGGTTCAAAGCAGAAGATCCTTGACAGGTTGAACTACAAGATCAAACGTGAAGAACGACGACAAGCAACACTACCAACACTACTAGCTCTTGAGCACACGAAGAAGGATGATCAACCTATTGAAGGACAACAGATTCCCAAACTTCCTTCCAAGCTTGAGAGACGACTTCACAACATGGTGTGACATCTTTGTGATGGCAAAAACCAAGGACAATGCCAAGAAGAGACAATTTCCTGGACCAAGCAGCCACAAGGAACATCCCACGGTTCAGATGGACTTTGGCACGATCTCTGGAGGAGTTGCAGTTTTGGTCTTGGTTGACATGTGGACAAGGTACACAGAAGCTATCCCGTTGAAGAAGACAACACGGAATGTCGCAGACGCCATCCTGAGTTTCTTAGGCAGGGTTAGGCAAGTTGAGAAAGTTGTGTTGGTTTGCGACCAAGAGAAAGTTCTACTTGCAGGTCTTGAACTCGCAAAGGAGACAAGAACAAGAATGGGTTTAGCAACAACGCTAGACATGAACAAGGCATTTGACGAGTCAAAGACAGCAGCAGCCGAAAGATACATCCAGACCATTCGCAACCAAGCAAAAGCACTTATTTTGCACCTTGAGACAAAAGCTGGAGTCTACTTCGACCCCGAGCACGCAATTCACAGTTGGGCAGCCAGACACAGTGCATGGCTACTCAACAGGTATGCAGTCCACAGCACATTGAAGACAACACCATTTCAAGCACTTCATGGACGACCATATGGTGGACGAATTTGCGCTTTTGGTAGCGCAGTTTTTGCCCTCGACGAGCACAAGTCCAAATATGAAAGAAGATGGTTGAGAGGCATTTGGCTAGGAAAAGATGGAGCTGATCAAGACATTGTTGCATTTGAAGATTCTCGATTGGTGAGAACAAGAGCAGTTCGACTATGTGCAAAGGAGTTTGAGAAGGAACTCTTGATTGGACTGGAAACCCTTCCTGATTCCATGAAGAAAGCAGCGACGCATGGTTCAATGAAAGTCAAGCTACGTGAACTACCTTCACCAGAAGTTCTTCCTTTCAAGGTGATGGATGCTGAAGCCAAAGAAGTGATGGACTACCACGAAGCCCATCCAGACAGTGACGAAGAGTACACGCTTAGTGTCGGAGGCAGGGCAGATGATAGAGAAGCACAAGACGAAAGTGCATCGAAGAAGGCCCGAACAGATGACGGACCTGGTCGTGGAAGCAATGAGCCTATGGATGCAAATGATGCAGTGGAAGACAAGAAGCATGGACTAGAAGACAAAGAAGAGCAACCTCCCAAGCACTACAAGCACAGTGAGGAGACCACAGAAAGATCACCCAAGCGACGAGAACTACATTCCCCAACATGGGCAGGAAACATCAATATGGTGGCAGAGAACGATGACATGTATGTGGATGAGCAGATAGACCTCTTGGAGGCGTGGACTTTTGACCTCGAACATCACCCAGAACTCGAGGTGGAGATGGGCACAGATGAGAAGTCATTTGGTGACCGAGCTGAACGTGATGGACCTCCTAATGTAAGTGAGGATGAACCCAATGAACTCGACAGGAAAGCAACGCTAGAAGAAATTAGCAGATTGCAGCAACTTGAAGTTCTAGCAGTGGCAGAAGATGCAACAGATGAAGAACCTCTTTTGTTGGACACCACATGTGTTTTCGACTGGAGATTCAGAGGAATGTGGAAAAGAAGATGCCGGATAGTTGCACGAGAATATCGCACAGGCAACACAGATGAGAACCAATTCAGCCCAACGCCAGCAGGATTTACGATGAGATTGATTTTGGTTCTTGGAAAGCTTTTCAACCTATGTTTGTTTGTGGCAGACATCAAAGTTCCTTTCAGTCAAGCAGCGAGAACTAGTGGAAGTAATCGTCCCAAGCTGGGTAAGAGACCGAGCGCAAGGAGAACAAGCAAACAATCCCTTGTTGACAGCAGAACGCTGGAGATT